GTTTTTTTTAACTGTTTGCGTGTTCCCAACTCACTGAACACAGAATTGCATGAGCAACAGTGCTGCCTCTGTAAACCAGTAGAGAGAAACCTCAAACTTATACTAACACTGACAATGAGTCTGGAGTCATTCAGTCATTAAACAAAGTGTCTGATCAACATGTCAACAACAGGATAACTTTCCTCAACTCAATGAGGAAACTGATGAATGACGTGAACGCAGATCAAGCAACGAAATGAAACCACTTCTTTCTCTCTGATGTTTTAATCATTTCTGTAACCGTAATTATGATCACACAAGAAAAACAAAAATGTTTTATGTACATCCATGTTTTCTCAGCTAAACACTTAAAGATTTGGTGAATCTTTGGATACATTTTATAATTTTACCATTATCAACCCTAAAAGCAAAACATTTAATTAAGGTGAAAAATCCAAATCAAATCACACGGCCTGATCTAGATATGCACCGCTTTTAATTTACAGCAATAATATGGTAAAAAGTCGCTTTCAAATGGCATCACACTCAGTTGCACAGCTAATATGAAGCCCTATATACACTGACACGTTTTTTTACTTTAGAATAAAAAGACTTTTACACCTGAAAACCCTGAAAACATAAAAAAAAATGTCTTTGCACATTCACCATGAATATGTTTTTTGTTCTGTGATCTCTGCTGCTGATACTTTCTCACTCTGAAAATGGACGAGTGGTGAGCAGCTGTTGACACGACAAAAGTTATTTTCACACCCACAAAGAAACATGAACCATTACAGCAAGAGAGACGAAACAAAATGTCGCTTTCAAGAAGTTTAAGGTTCAGGTGCAGAACTTCTCTTTTAAACCATCTCCACAGAGGTCTCTGGATACTCCCTCGTTCGTGGGATGGCAGAGCCCTCAGCTCTCTGGGATTTCTTTTTCCTCCAAGCAAAATAGGCGGCGATCCCAATGAACAAAAGAGCTGCCACAGCTGTTTGCACGCCACATATGAGGGAAGGATCTGTTTCAATGAAGAGACACAAAGATCACATGTGGACAAAGTTTTCACTCACATTGATAAATAACAAGATGAAACTACTGGATCCACTGCAGCAGAGGCAGTTTTCATTTACTAATGAACCAGGAGTCCTCTCTGCTGAAGGAGGTCACAGTGTGATTGGAGGATGTGATATTAATGGTGGGTTTAAGTGACACTGATACATCAGTCTTCTTACCCACAGTCGTGTCTGAGGCCTTAGTGGTCGGATCAACACACAGTGTGTTATTGGCTGCAAACACCCACTGTGATATGTGTGTCTCATTAGAGTCTATGCAGTCAATGAAGATGAAGCCTGAATGGAAAGAAACAGATGAGCTCTAACTGATGTTCAGCATGATCATGATCTTCAGCATCATCTGAGCATTGTCCCTCACTCTCTCACTCACCACAGGTAGATATTATCTCTACTGTCTCTCTATCACTGACGTGGTTCTTGACCGAGCAGCCCAGACTTCCAGAGACGTCCTGTTTCAGAGTGATGTTGTCAGTCTCATGAGTTCCARTGAGGAGCRTGTCTTCASTCAGCGTGCGTCCATTCAGAGTCCATCTGTACTGAAGACTGTCCCCTCCCTCAGAGACGCAGGACACCCTCATCTCTCCCTGGGACAGACACTTAGAGACCAGCCGGACAGACCACACAGGAGCTAGAGGAACAAAGATGATGTTTGACATGTTG